CTCTCATTGTAACAGTACATCTATAAAATTGCGTGTTACTTGTAGTAGTAATATCTATATGAAAAGTATGTGTTGTCTCTCGTTGTAACAGTACATCTATAAAACTGTGTGTTACTTGTAGTAGTAATATCTATATGAAAAGTATGTGTTGTCTCGTTGTAACAGTACATCTATAAAACTACATGTTACTTGTAGTAGTGATATCTATATAAAAAGTATGTGTTGTTTCTCATTGTAACAGTACATCTATAAAACTGTGTGTTACTTGTAGTAGTAATATCTATATGAAAAGTATTTGTTGTATCTCGTTGTAACAGTACATTTATAAAACTACATGTTATTTGTTGTAGTAGTAGTTTCTGTATAAAACAATACGTTACTCATGTTACACCATTTGTAAACCATTTAAACTACTTTTTTACCTGTTGTGTTAGCAGTATATGTGCAAAATTGTGTGTTACTTGTATCATCAGCTTTTTTTTATAAAACACATTAACTCATGTTACACCATTTCTTTGGAAAACTGTGCTTCCTTTTACTTCTTCATAGGATAGTATATAACTACACATTACCTCTTGTAACAATGTCTTTGTTAGACCATCTATAAGTTACTTCAGCAGTCTTTATAAAGCTATTTGTTTTTGTGCATTTGGTTGGCCTTTACTACCTGTTGCTAAGATATTGCCTTAGTTAATTTACATGTTACCTCTTGTAGCATCAGAATCTCGTTAGATCATATTATATACTAGCGAAAGTAACCAGCTTTGCTTGGGATATTAGGTTTGAGCTGCTGTAACAGCAGCCATTCACTCTTTATTCAATGGAGATTCTCAATAAGAAAACAAATATTTTTTTTAAATTTTGTAGTTTATACATTTCATTTTATACTTTTATCACATAGACTAACAACAATATTAGGCCTTATTTATGCCACTATAGATCACATTGTCTAACATATATAAAAGCAGCATGATGTAGTGCATCACATCACGCTTGATTTCTATTTTGACATAGTGTGAGATAACTTAGCCTAGAGCCAGGTGCATAAAATTTAACATGAAAGTAAAAATATCGAACCAATTCTAAACTTAAATAATATAAACAAACCTATTTAATTAATGGAGCCTTTAAATTAGAAAACAACAAATATTTTTTTCAATTGTATAGCTTATACATTTCATTTGATACTTTCAGCACTTAGCCTCTTAACAACAATATTAGGATATACTTTTATTGCTAATCAACATGATATAAAAGCCACTGTTTGAATGCATTGTCACCAAAATGCACTGGTTTTTTTATATATTAGAAGTTGTTATATAAGGAACCACTTCTTTTCTATGTGGTTTTTTGCTAGATTGTCTCATTAAAAAGATGTGTGCATGCAAATGCGTGTCTGCCTGTATGTGATGTATATCCATAATTTGGAATGTAAGAAACCACTTATTTTCTATATGGTTTTTTGCTAGCTTGCCTCATTAAAAAGATGCTTATGTGTGCATACACGTGGATAAGTAATAATAACCAGGTGCAAATTCTCAGGGTCCACTTAGTATGGGAGCAAAATTTCAGGTGTCTAGGTTCTTTCCTCTTGGAGCACAGCAGTCACATAAGCACATACACACACACACGTGCATGTCTGTCTGTCTGTGATTTCTATTTGTAATATAAGGACCAACTTCTTTGCTACCTTACCTTATTAAAAAGATGCACATGTGTGCACGCACATTTCTTTACTGTTTTTTTTTTGCATAAAAAGATATGTGCATGCACACAGATAAGTAATAATACCCAGGTGCAAACCCTCAGGGTCTACTTGGTATGGGTGCAAAATTTCAAGTTTCTAGGTTCTTTCCTCTTGGAGCTATGGTGGTCACATTTCTTTTCTATGTACATGCACATAACTGTGATTTAAGTATTTTGACACAATATCTTTGTCAGACCAAATGTCATCTGTTACAGAACCATATTTTCACATTACAGTATTTTTAAAAGTATATGTTACTTTTTGTAAAAACTTTTTTTTAAACCACATACTTTTTATTTTAGTATTTTTATACATATTGTAGCAGCATTTTTTCTGGCTGAATCCAGATATAGTCATAGTGAAGGTTTCCAGTTATTAATGCTCTAAAACAATATGACATCCATATCTTAAGAATTGCTTTTATTCTATGAGTTTTTCTGTCAACTATGTTCAGATAAGCTTGTGTTTCAATGTTTTTCTATCATTGCAACTAAAGCTGAGCCAGTTTGTGACAAATGAAAGACATTAATGTTAATAGTATAAAATCATGTGGGTAGTCTGTGTTGGTTTATCTGAGTTTTCTACAAAACATGTTTAGTAAATCATGTTGCATGTTTATGAGGCATCAAACATTTTTGGTAAGTAATGAACAATGTTGAAATTCACCATTCTTACTTTCAGGTGTTGTTACGTCATGCTCCAGCATTCTTGAACCTATGTATATTCCAAAATGTTTACATTTTCTAAATAAAGCCATCATTAATTTTTGGAAAATAAGCTTTTTAGATAAATGATCTGCGCTACTATAGATTTAGATTATTTCTTTATAAAGATTAAACTCTCTTTTTATAGGTCATGGAGGATACAGCCATAGACCAGCACCTCCTATCTTTGTTTCCACACCACCTCGTACACAGCGCCTACTTCACTCCAGTATCTACATTAAGTAAGTTGTAAATTAAATTTTAGTAATGATTTTCCCAACCACTGGTGTGTTTCTATAATTCAAATGGTAACTTAATATTTACAATACTTTTAAAACATTGAAAATTGTTTCCATTTATAGACCATTAATCTTGCAGATCATATGGCATTGGACAATGCACATTAACTTTGAATTTAGAGATTGGTTTTCCTACAATTATTTTCATACAAGGGCAATTATTGTAGTTTCCAAAACTACTAAAAAAAGCTTATCCATTAGAAATTAACAATTATATGTCATTCAAGATATATCTGCATTACTGATGACTGTAAATAATTCCACAGATTAATGTTGACATGAATTACTACTATGGTTGTCATATTTCTTATTAGAACATTATGTATAATGAAATAGATTATTCTAACTTCAATGTAAAAACAGATTCAGCATTATTACATCATCACTAGCTAATATAATAATATATGACAGAATTAAATATAGTAAATTACATTTAGTCTTTGGAACAGTGATTAAACTTGTTATAAGTATAAAACATACTATATAGCCATGTTGCCTCTTCTCAGAGAGGAAACATTGATTTGTTGTAAATATTTAGATCTTTTTAGTTTAACATTGTCCCTGACATTATCAGTGTGTGTGATGGAAATGATACTAGTAACTATGTATACCTTGAAAACTGTTATTAATTAACCAATAACATATTTCATTTCTTGGACAAAGTTGAACTGTGATGTAAAAACATATGATAAAAATGATAGCTAAGCTAGTGGGCTCACCCATGATAATTTTGGTAAAAAACACTGTTTAATACACAATATTTACAATAATGTTGCAAAGTCTTAGTTTTTTTTAAATATTTGTAATCAATAAGTAAAAACAAAGAAACACTAATTTAATTTAGGTAACAAATTTCTGGATGAAATAGTTTGAAAATGCAGAAGAACTTTCTACAGATTTCATATCTCAAGCAAATGAAATATGCATGTGTGTTTGAATTTGTAGCTCTGAAATTTTGAAGATTTTAATATGATTTTCTTTCAAAGTTTGTAGTGCATACTGGAGAGATATACACATTGTGATAAAAGTTTAGATAAACGACCTTTACACTCCAGATGTAAATATATTTGTTTTTTATTTAATAATGAAAGTTTTCCGGATATATCCGGAAATCCGGATATTTCTAAAAAAAAATCCTAAAAACCTCCGGTTTTCTTCCGGATAAACACGTTTTTTAAAATTATTTATCGGATTTTGTTGTTCCATGCCATAGATAAGCGTTTATGCAATCATGCGGTTTGTTTACATTCAGCGAATGAGTTTGATTTTTCATTAAATATATGTTTGATTTATTTTTAGCAATGTTTTAATAATGAATCTATTCAATTTCATATTAATGTGAACTGTTTAGTCTCAGTTGAATTGTACACATTTCAAAAACGCATGTGCAGTACTGAGTGTAAGTTATAAAAGCATTACTTTATATATGTTTTGACATCCAATAGTGAAAATTATGAATTCCAAAGAATGCACTCTTGAAAATTATCCATTAACTAGGGGAATCAGATTTGATATTTCTCACATGTATTTGATAATCATTTATGTAAGAAAAATGGGGTAACTTGTTTAAGTGAATTTTAAATACTAAAAGGCATCAAAATGTAGGATTTTGGGTGCTGGACCCCCTTACTTGGCTTCGATTATTTTCAGGATTTTTAGGAAAGGGACACTTTCATCTCTGTTTATTACTACCAACATTTCACTTTTACAGCTTATTCAGGGTTAATACATACAAACTGTTTGATATTGAAGTATACGGTTATTTATAACATTTATTTAAAATTTTAGTATGATATTGTTTTCAGAACAATTTAAAATTCTTACCTTTATTGAAGATTTTAATTTGATTTTTGTCTTTGTACACTCTTTAAAATTTTCCTATACAATTTTTATTTTATAAAGCTTTAAATTTTGTTTTGAAAAACATCACACATACTTTCACTGACTACAATTACTAATGTACAAATAAAATTATTTTTTTCCTTACCAAAACAAAACTTGACGTGGTCATGTGCAAAAAATTTAATTAAGCCTACCTCATCTTATTCCATAAAACATTTATTTTCCTATCACATTGCAACATCATAATTCAAATGAAATATATAATGATAAAGCAACTTTTCTTCAAGACTAATTGTGGCAGAAAAAATTCTTCACAAACATCTTTCCTTCTAGCAGCATATCAGTTGTTTTAGGTCTGTATGTGAATCTTGGCTGAACTGTAAACTGTAATAGATTATACAGTTGAAAGTAAAAGAAAAAGAACTTTCATGACATGTTTAGATCATTCGCCAATAATTTCTCGAAGCTGAGATATAGGCAATCACATTACACCATAACAATCAAGGTTGAGAAATTATGGTTGGTTAAAAATCGATAAAGCTACACTTGTATCCAAGTTACAAAGATAAGTTACTGCTACTTTGTCAAAAACCATTATTGACTTTCATCCTAAAGGACTATGAGTGTCATATTATCCTCAGAAAAATAGCAAGAGCAATTTTTTTAATTTTCATGTACAAAAATTAATTACATTTTTTTATTAAATAAATTTCAAGTCAAGTTGTTTTTTGTGGATTGAATAATGTCTACAATTTTATCTTCTATAATTTAACTCCATGCCAATGGGGCAGCCCATTGACCAATCTTGTAACAACCATGTAACCGTAAAACTATATATACACACACTATAACTCTGAATGTACTGCATGTATCATCATTAAACATGGAAATTTAGAAGCAAACATTACAACTCTGTTGTAACCAAAAAAAAATTTTGTTTTAAATAACTTTATTAAAAATTTCAGTGTTAAAATACAAAGTCTTTACTGAATCAGTTTGAGTGAAAGTTGATTTTTATGCCAAGAATAAAAATACTTCTTTTCATCTTACAGTTTTCATATTTCATTTGCATAATCTCTAGGACATCTTAAATGAATATCAAATTTTTCTGTTTTTTGATAAAATTTTCTACTTATTTCTTATTTTATGTGCACTAACAAAATCATCAATGTACAGTAAAATTAAGAGTTGAAAACTATGAGATAAAATCAAAAATACCTTTTCTCTCTCTTTTTTTTTTTCCTTCTAGAATGGCTGCAGATTGTAAAAGACAATTACAATTAGTTATCTTAACAGCTTTTGACCTTTTCATACCTGCTTTCATTTAATTTTATTGTTTTGTTGTTCTTTGAACTGTGTGTAACTGGAGTAACAAAGCAATAAATCACCTGGTAGAGAGCTTAGGGTAAGCAACTATCAAGTTACAGCACATGATTGCAGCCTATATGCATTCCTCACAGTGAAGTTAAGATAAATTTTTATGTAAATTTTTTTTCACTTAAGTTTTCTTACCTGACCTAATAAGTTTATAATTTTTACATTTTAGTTACTTTTATTATTAAAAAATGAATAAAAAACCCAAATGTTTAGTACTTTAGTACTTGAAGCCTTTTGCAGATGAGTGCATGATTTAGTGAACCAATTTCTTTGCTCACTAGTTTTGTTCAAAAATATATCAGGCACTAGACCTGAATATCCTAAAACTAATACAAGTTTTCTGGCTTTCTTACTAACCTATAAATAAGTTAAATTCCATTACTACTTGGAGCAATGTCTTTAGTTTATGCACTAAACTGTCCTAATGAACTATCAGCTTTCACCACTAAAACAAAACAGACAATGGTCTGATTTATTTAGTTCAAAAATTTCTCTTTTTATTGGTTATAAACATGTCCAGTAGCAATTTAAGAGAGAATTATAGACATTTCTTAAAATACAATAGATGGAGGAGAAGGTTCCATGTGGGTTGAATAAATAACAAATATAATGATATCTAAGTAAACAAGAAGATAAGAGACTGAAATTTTATATATTGACTAGTCAATATCTATAGCGTATGTTTTTAATTAGTTGAACAATCTTTAATACCTTACAAGGGAAGATAAAAATCTGCGAGTGAAACCTCAGAGTACCACCACATCTTGTGACTCAGAGGTGCAGATTGAGAATGTATATAAATATTGAAATTAATAAATTATAAGTTAGATAATATAAAAATTTGAATTATGTTTTGATGCCATGTAAATTAAAATGTGCAGAGAAATAAAGTAGATCAATTACACTTTGAACATAACCCTGTAAAAAAAGTTGTGACATGCACTCTCTAGTCCTACTGTATGAATGGGGTTAATTCAATCTTGCAATTTTGTCCTTGAGATGGGATGCACCCATCCAGATTTGATAGAAATAAAATGCTATAGCGTAATGTTGTTATCAGTAAGTTCAAAAATCACCCTATTTTACAGTTGGCCTTTCAGTAACTTTTTGTTTTCTCTTTTTTTTTCTCCTTTTTTTTTGGTAAGAGTTAAAAAATGAGATTATTTTATTCTACTTGGAGAAATATGTGTTAAAATAATATAACACTGATTTTAAGATATTCTTAATGTCACCAAAATCTATACCATTTAATGCATTGTGAACATATCCCAACATTGCCCAGTACCACATAATATGCTTTAATGTGACTTTTTAAAATGATTTAAATATAGAAGTTTTAAGATGACTCATTGTTCTAAAGAAATAAGAACTGAGACTTTTCAGGAATCAAGCTCGTGACTGAGATATGCATTTCTAAGAATATTTAATTTTTTTGTTTGTACAAGGTATATTGAAGGACTGAAGGGTGATAGCAGACATATAAGTGACTGGGATGCACAACTAAAAGCTACAAAGGATAACACAACAGTGAGTGACCCACATCGCCTTCCTGTCCAATGGCTGGCAAATGGAGCGGGAAACCATGGTAATGTTGTCAATGCATTCTGGGCTTTGCGGGATTTCATGCTTCGAGATGCATTGAACATTTCTAAAATATTGTAACAAATATTCAAACAAAGTAGCTCTTATCTATTGAAATACTGTGTTGATTTTTCTTTTACAAAAATTGATCTGTATCATGCATGACTTCATCATTTTATAGTAATACAAAGACATAAAATTGAGTTGTTTTGTATTGTACTCTTGTCTTAGCAAAACATTCATGTGTTCAAATACTTGTGTAAGTTTTGTTTGTCATTTTTACAAAAGGATGTAATACTCCCCTAGAAATGAAATAAAATATTAAAAAAAAAATGTGTGTTACCAGAATAACTTTTCCATGTTGGTGGAGCTACATAAGAAGCACATGTAATTAAACTTGAACCTATTTTACACACCTGCTGTTCTAAAATAGCCAAATGACACCATGAGTAGTTACACTGGATTTAACCCTTCAGCTGTTGATTGAACATCTGCATAGCAGATTTTAAAATTTAAGTAAAAACAATAATTCTAAATGTTTTGACAATTTGTAACTCAGAATTATTTTGTAAATAATATTTTATCATTTTTACCATTTATTTTCAAACTTGGATTTCAGCATAGCTTCAAATAGTCTCAAATATAAACAATGCATTTACCAATTTTTTTAGAATTTTTCTGCATACCCTAAAGAATAAGTTTATATTTACTAAAAAAACTGTCATTCCTTGAGATTATAATTATCTATGTTTGTTTATTGCATGATTTTCCTTCTCTTGCATTGATTTTATTAGTACAGCCTCATGTTTCCACTATTCATTGATCACACAACAAGTAATCTCAACATCTACTAATTAAGCTCAGTTTGAAGATAGCTACAAACAGTTTAAAGCCATTGAATAGAACTGAATATAGACTATTTATGTTAGTGTGGAGTAAAAAAATAAAAAGCAGTGTGCAAAGTAATTTATGATTTCATGTGAAAATAATGTATTGAAAGAAATATGTTAATAAGTATCAAGTTGAAACTAATTGGGTGTATAAAAGTCAATAACTAGTTTGTTCTAAGTTTCCTGCAATTTAATTGAATATATCCATTCTGGGAAGGAAAAGATTGATAGATATCAGTGACAACCTCTGGTCTAGAATGGGTTAAAGAAACAATATCAAGATGAGCAACCAAGTGTGTCCTAGACAAGAATGCAAACATTAATAAAACACTTTCCCATTTTAAGGGTCTTAAGAAAAGTTCTCATGATGGACTAAAATATATACAAAATAGCACCATTATGAATAAAATAAAGTTTTTACTGGATTTAAAGTAAGAATATTATAAAGGTGGGCAACTATAATTGATTCTTGAATAAAAATGAAAGTATAAAACGTAAGCCAAAAATAAATAAAATAAGTACTAAGAAGCATAAGGTAGGTAAGGTGCCTAAGAAATAGGGGAAAATGGTGATAAACTGAAAGCAAATATATAATGCTGTCGTCAGGATAATAAGTTGAAATAATTCATTCAACTCCAACACACATGCACATGTGGATATACTTGTGTTGTATATACATTAATAGTGTTGTAAGCTGTATTTTCAATATATTTAATTGTTTACAGAGAAACTTCTAATCATGATAATAACGTAAAAGTGAGAAGCTTCATCTAATACCTAGAGAGATGGGTATATTATTTATAAGTATCAATAAGCAGGTAAAGTTACAGAGTATTCAAAAAGTTCATTAGTTCAATGTTAAAAGGGAAATTTATCATGTCTATAAGCAAGGAAATTCTATAAGTAAGTTTATTTGCGAGTTAAGCATACTACTATGGTAGTTGAAATGTTTGTGCACTTAAGCCTACAAATAAAAGTGACAGTAGCCTGTAGCAAAAATCAAGGAAGAAATAAACTAATTTATTATTGTTACTTGGATAGGATTTTCAATTATTTTTACCAGATGATCCAAAAAATTCTACTCAGTGAAAGAATACATTATAACAATAATATTTATGCTATCTCAAACTCAATTTCATCAAATGTACACTCCAAAATTATCTCTAAACAAATATGTGATGTTTTTTCTCTCTAAGCATCATGTGGTTGTGTGTTATACAGAGAAGACATACAATTATTTTAAAATTTTAGAAATCCACTTGTAAGCAGCTCTTGTACAACTTAAACCTTTACCAATTATTTAAAGTAAGGAAATTATTATAAACTACCAAATGTAAAAGAAAATGCTAAAGAGGAATACAAATGTGAATAAAACAAGTTTATGCTAATTCTAAGCATTCTGCTACTCATGAATTTCCCATATCTTTTTATTTCTTTTTGTATTTTATCATAATCCCTTGACATTGCACCATTTCTGAATATCTGGTAATGCAAACTTAACCAACTATTATTTCCAATTTCTACAATGGTATGCCCCATATAATAAATATAATACTGTGTGAACAGGGACATGTATACATGAGTTGAGAGAGAAAAGGGTATCGACTTCAGTTTGTCTACTGATTATCTCACTTGTAGTGAAAAATGTATAAAAAATGACATCCATTATAGACAAATTTGCATTTCAATTTGAAAAGTGAGTGTAATTTATGAATACAAAAGATGTCAGGATGAAAACCAAGTTTTTGTTTCAATACCTTAATGAATCTTGTATCAAATCAACAGAGGAGAAAGTAACAATGAAGAAGTCTGTGTGATGTGTAACAAAACATTTTTGTGCTGTAATAGAGGTCTTGCAATATGCAAACTCACGAAAACATATTACCAGGATTGCAATATCTAAAACAAGTTCAGGTTACATAACAAAATGCCAGGGCCCCCCTGCAAAATATGGTGGGAGTCCCATTAGTGCAGGTGAGGTGACTCATTTTCGTAAGGCACCAATAAACTTATTAGACATTTAGTTTTATTATTATATATACTTTTGTTTTGTGTTTTTACAATTTCGGCTTGCAGAGCAATTTTCTTTGTACATTTGCTGTTATGTTAAACTTATAGTAAAGTTTTTCTTCATTACCCATTCAAGCCGTCTCCAGCCATCAATAGCGTTATGTTTCACAAGTGAAAGATCAGTTAGATCTTTAGTTGCTGCCCTAGAAGTTTGTTGTATTTCATCCTTCAGTGTGGTTCTGAATGGCAGTAGCTGTGTAGGATTCTGAAGATACACCTCTTTCTGCTGAGCTTCAAGGCATTCAACTGATTTAAATAGTGCATTATGAATTAACACTAAGAATTTCAAAAGGAGACATAAAATGAAACTGCTGTACTATTGTGTACATTCTGAAGAATCATATTTTTGACTGAGTAACAACAATATCAAAGTTGACATAGAACACAGCTACCTTAATTTTTTCCTCAGGGCTAGATAATCTTTGTAGAGTTTGTCGAAATGTTTTTGTTTTGTTTTTTGTACGTGATAAGTGTTTTTCGGTTCAATGCTTCAGATAGTTTCAAGTGAAGAGTTGGTAGTCTTAGTATCTCCAAACTGCTTCCTAAAGCTTTCTAGGATCTTGATTACAATAGTTAACATTGTAGCAGTTAGATAATGTCCTTATCCTTAGATTGGTGCTATTTTCATACGATGTTTAGTTGTTAATTTTTAGGTGAACTTTTACTCTTGTTAATAATAACAGATTCGATCAGGAAATAAGGAGTAATTTGTATTTGAAAATTTAACTGAGTTTTAATTGAATCGGAAATAAACAGATTAGAGAGGTTTGATGGACAGTGAAAACAATCTTTATATGAACACAATAAAAAAAAATTTCTTATCTGCATAGAAGGGTGGATGATCACCTCTGTTAGATCAATAAATAGCTCATCAGCTGGCCACACCTCACGATGAATCTCTGCTGAACTAGTCATTATGAAAACCAAGTAGAATTGAACCACGAAAGTGTGCCTGAATTCAACACGTAAATTGGTTTCTGTGTCAAGAATATCTTCTTGTGACCTTCGCACATAATGTGGACAAAGTACGTCTTTGAAATAATTCGGCCGATCCCACGTTCAGATGTTGCAGACTAATGAAATATGACCATTTATATTTTAAACGACTTGAGCAAACAGTCTATCATAGATTAATGTAGGGCCTATGCACAATACAGTGTTAAACTCAATGCAGAATGAAATATGATAAAGGGCTAATTACAACTCTGTAACAAACTACTTAATAGTGCGTCATTTGTATTATTGTGTGATCTTAAAAGTAATTGGGGAGGGGGCTGTGACACACGTGAGTCTTATAATATTCACATCACCTTTCCTCTGTGCAGTACCGCCCCTCGTATCGTATTACCCCATAAAAATTTACGAAATTAGGCCTTTTGATAATATTGTCCCTACAAGTGACTTCCAGTTTGTAAAATGAGGCACCAAATGATATCTCTTGTCTTATCATTCTTTCATGTAAACAATCTCTTGGTTGTCAGTCAAGGTGAATATTGAATGCTGTTTGGAACTTCTGAAATTCCTGATTATATAGTTATGTATGTAACTGAAGTTTCCCTCAGATTTGTGAAAGAAATGGAGCTGGAAAACCAGTGAAGGAGGTTCTTTTTGCTCGCTGGTAAGCGCAACAAATACTACATCTCATACGCATGGTAAACTGAAACTAGAATATATGCATTTGGTCAATTCTTTATAATTGTGTCTAATACAACACATGACAATGATATAATACTCATGTGGGAGAGGTTACCAGCACCTCACCCCTGAACTAGGTCTTTACCACCCGGTTTTCTATATATCACTATAAGGAAATGTACCAAACCTAAATACCTAATTCAATGGGTTTCTCGAAAACTTATTTTCCTAATGTACATAGACCTAGTTGACGCTTTCCTCTTCTTTAACGGTTTCTGCCTCGTCACCATCTTCCTCTTCTGTTGGGTAGGCAGCAGCTGCTGTGTTTTGACATTTCCTACATGAGCACATCTCTGTGCATGGCATACCAACTGATGCACAACATTGTTCACTTACGCTTGATGAGAGACATTTTGACTTTTTGCATGAGCAGGACATAATTTCTAGGATTCTTTGCTGGATAGGTTCAGTTTCCATCCACTCAATCTCAAAGCAACCGTTTATCATCTTCCATCCATGACCCACAGGGGATGGAATGTTTGGTTTGGTCTCAAGTCTGGTAGTTTGTACGCTGAATGTGTTTTCTCAGGGCATTCTGGGTGGGTAGCATTACATTCTCGGTTCAGGTAGCAATTGAAAACAAGAAATACCATGCCTCATTCACAGCAATGGAGTCAGTCTGGCCATACAGTTTGCATACAAATTCTTCAATAGTCATTGCAGTCTCCACAGATGCTCCAACCAGCCATGAAATGAAGTTATATAA